GGGGATATAGATGTCTACCCCAGGCCGGGTCCAAGCTACAAGATCCTGGCCCCTTTGCTGGAAGAATCCATCCTGCACTAGACTTATCAGGGGATCACTTGGTCAGTTATATCAATGTCTAACCACTGTACTGTACATCTGAAACCAATGTAATATTGAATGTCAACTGTAATTGAAAAAAATAAAATTTAAAAGAGAACCCATCCTGTGTCTCTCAGGATTTCAGTTGGACAAGACACCTGAACACGAGCACTGGCTTCCCCAGAACCCCTTCTCTGAGGTACCTTCCCCTTCTGAGCCAGAGTTCTCTCCACTGCAAAGTGGGGATTGTACGGGCTACTGCATTGCCTGTCCCAGGGCCAGTGTGGGGGCACACAGGAGAGACCTGATGGGGACGGGCTTGGTGAATGGAACCGAATGTGAGTGCACAAGGGGCCATTACAAACCCCAAACCAACCAATAATCCACCCATCAGGGCTGGCATTAGGACAGGACTGCTGGGCCTCAAACATACCTCGACTGGGGTGACAGGGGCAGCCTGGAACTAGACTTCACACAGGCAAGCCTAGACCAGGGAAGGCAGACCACACAGGACTGCCAAGCAGGGGACTGCGGCAAAACAGAGCGAAATTAAAGAAAGGTACCCTTTGCTGGTCTGGCCCTGGGCCCCCGTCTCCGATGTTTAAAAGGATGCATCTCTTCCCTTCCCCAGCCCAGCTGCACAGGGCAGTCACAGCACCTTTGCTCGGCCTTGGAGAGTCATGAATGAGCCATTTGACACACACCTCTGCCTTCAGGTGGAAAGGGTTTGCTCAGCTCCATTTTATAGACGAGGCTACTGAGGCCTGGGTGGTTGAGTGACTTGCCCAAGGTCATTTGGCCAGTGAATGGTACATGGCAGGATCAACCAAACCTAGGTGGCTGTCCTGCCCTCGAGCCCCCTCTCCACACACCCCTGGATAATGTGTGGCAAGTGGGCGTAGTTCTCCAAACTGGGTTTTGAAGTATCTTTCTAAAAAAAACAATCCAGATTGCAACCCAGATACTGAGCTCTGTGAAGGGAAGCTACTTGACTTCCCTCCTGCTACCTCTGGCCACCTCTGCCCCAAACCCCCATATCACCCTTTTTGGCTCTAACACCTGCTTCACGGACCAAACACAGTAACTGTTCGTCTTTGCTCCTGGCAGCCAGCCATCCCGGCAGTGGCGAATCTGAGGCTGGGCCGCCTTCACAGGGCAGGGGACAATGCTGAGGGTCACAGCAGCCCAGGGGAACATGCCAACCACAAGCAGGCAGGCACCCCAGGCCTCAGAAGGGCACCAGACCCCAACCAACACAGGATGGCTCAATCCTCCCTCCTGAAAGGAGGTCAGGCAGCCCAGCCAGAGGAGGGGATAGAAGTAGGCCCCCTGGTGACAGCCTTAGCCTCTGGAGAGCCCTGAGTGTGTCTAAAGGAAACTTTGTACCCTGGATTCCATGCCTTCCTCTGAACCCCAGGACTTGGAGCTATGCAGACTCGATGCCCGGTAAAGAGCAAAGATGTCCTTGGAGACCGAAAGGATGTTTATTATGAAGGAAGGTCAAGTTCGTCATGTAATGCATTCAGAAAGTTACTGTCATTATTAACATCGTCATCATTGCCTTACTGTCCTCGCCCCACAGCTGAGATGGCTGTGCCCTTTTTGGGCCACTAAGTAGTATATTATTCTCAGAGGGGAATCGCAATGTGGACACAGGTTGGGAGGAGAGCAGGGCGACTCAGAGGCAACTCTCAGGCTGAGAGGGAACCAATTCCCAACCTCTAGCCCCCCACAGGCGACTCGCCTCTCCAGCCTCACTCTGTGGCCAGTCTGCAGACCCCTAGAGGCCACCGGAGCCACTCTCCTTCAGTCAGCTGAGTACAGAAAGTCTACCGACCACTGCCCTCGGTCACACGTCTGGCACTGGACACAACAATGAGCCGGCCCAGGCCCTGCCCTTAATGAAGTCACCATTTAGCAGCGGCATCTCCACTCTAACCTAATGTACCAACTAAAAGCTTTGGTAAAACTCAGTGTTGAGTCATGATCAGACTCCTCTCTAGAAGGAACACAGATTCATTTCCGACAGAAGAGGCCCAAGTACCCAAATGCCCCCGCCTGGAGGGGATGAAGATGTCCGTCAGCAGCACGGAGCCTCATGGGAGCCCTTCCCCCCCCCACCCCCCCCCCCCACCCACAAACCCCC